ATAGATTTATATGCTTTTCCATGTCAATTCTACTGTGATCCATTCTCTCTAATTGACCAAATCACCTCAACAACCCTCTTATGCCCTCTGACTAATACTTTTATTAACTCCACACCTTTCCTAATTTCCACACTCCGAATTTTTGCTTAATATTTACACCACACATTGCCCTTAAACTGGACATCTCCGCTGCCTCCAACCGTCTCCTCTTCCTGCTGCATTTACCACCAAGTTCACACCCATTTAAGAGTGTTGGTTACTACTATATTTCATTACATTCCCTTCTTGCCTCCATAGATGAACGTTTTTTGACTCACATATACCTCAACGCACCAACTCACCTTTTTCCCTATCTCAATTCTATGATTAACCTCTTCCTTAATAAATCCGATCGCGACACGTCAACTCCCAAGTATCTGAAAAACATTCACTTCTTCCATACTCCTCCTCACCAATTGTTATCAATTTTTCTTTATCTAAATCATTTGATCACCCTCACTCACCTTACTCTTTTCTATGTTCACTTCAACTTTCATACTTTACACACATTCCCTTAATCTCTCCACTAATCTTTGCAATTTTTCTTTTGACTCTCCATAATCTTTATTACGCACAGTATCTTCAGGCAAAAAGTAAACTGTGTCAATCAGCCCATTTTGAATTTGATTCCCCATAATTTAATCCCCACCCCTCTCCCAAAACATACCTAGCATTTACTTCCTTTACAACCCCATCTATAAATAATTAATCAACCATGGCTGACATTACACATCCCTTGTCTAAGACCTACTTTACGGGATGTAGTCTCCCTCTCTTCTACACACCCTAAACCTGAGCCTCACTATCCTTCATAAAAACTCTTCTACTGCATTATAATAACTTACCACCTATTCCATATACTAGCAAACATCTGCCATCATTGCTCCTCTATCCACTTTTCATATGCCTTTTTAAATCCATAAATTGCAATAAAAACTTCCTATCTTTATCTAAATACTGTTAACATATATGCTTCAATGTAAACACTGATCTTCACACATCCCATACCCACTCTAAAACCTCCTTGCTCATCCGCAAACCTACATTCTGTCTTACCTCTAATGCTTTCAATTATAAGCCTACCGTACAACTTTTTCCCTGGTATACTCCAGTAAGCTTTTCCTCTATATTTTTTACAGTCTCTTTTGTCCCCGTTCCTTTATATAAAAGGGACTATCCTTGCTCTCAGCCAATCCCTAGGTTACCTTCCCCTCTTTCATACATTTATTAAAACAAAGTACCAACCACTCCAACACTATATCCCCCCCTGCCTTTTAACATTTCTGTCATGATCCCATCAGTTCCAGATGCTTTACCCCCTTTCATTTTACGTTAATGCCTCACGTACCTCCCCCAACACTTTCATTCTGCTCTTCTTCACTCCTAAAAGATGGATACCTCCCTGGACCCAGTGCATGAAAATTACTGCCTCTGTTTCTTCCTTAATTTAAAAAAGTTCCATCAAAATATTCTCGCCATCTACCCAATACTCCATCTCCCATCTACTAATCCCCTACTCTGTTTTTAACTGACAAATCATATTTTCCCTGGCTTTCTTAACTTGTTTAACTCACTCCAAAAATTTTTTCTTATTTTCATTAAAATTTCTTGACAGTGGCCTCTCCCACTATATCATCTGCCTTCTCCTTTTGACTCTCTGCCACTCTCTTTACCTTTCTTTTTATCTCCATATACTCTGCTCTTCTTATAAACATTCTGCTTTGTACAAACCTCTCAAAAGGCTACCTTTTTTCTGTTATCACACCCTTTACTTCATCATTCCCCAATTCATCTCTTTCCTCTGCCCCCACCCTCCTATAACCACAACTTCTGCCCCACATTCTAATACTGCATATTTTTAAAAACTTATTCCCAACCCTCTTCAAACCCCACTTACTCATCTTTGCACTAGCCACCCTTTCAGCAATAGTCGCTTATATCTCACCCGAACTTCCTCCTCCCTTAGTTTATACCTTTCTCTTCCCTCTTACTTGTTGTTGCCACCTTCTTCTTTTCCATCTACCTCTTACTTAACTGTAAGCTACAACTAAATAATGATCCGATATATCAGTTTGCCCCTCTATAAACATGTACATCTGGAGCTACCCAGAACCTTTTATCCACCAATACATAAATCTAATAACTACTTTCATTACGTGCTAAATCATACCTTGTATTTTATTTATCCTCTTTTTCATTAAAATATGTATTACTTATTACCAAAATTCTTCTACACATGCTAATTAAACGCTCCCCATTTACATTTACCACTGGCACCCCCTGAATTTACCTACTATCCTCCATAACATTTTTACCCACTTTAGCATTAAAATCCCCAACCACCATTACTCTCACACTTGATTCAAAACTCCCCACGCATTCACTCAACATTTCCCAAAATCTCTCTCTCTCCTCTACACTTCTCTCTTTGATTATAATAATAATAATGTAAACTATTACAGCTTCCTTCAGCACATCATGACTAGTATGGGTTTTGGGCATTTTGTGAATATGATAATATGATGAGAACACTAACTAAACAGTCAAGACAGCTTCAGAATAACTTGAATCGACTTCATTACTGACTGGATACGATTGCAAACAAACCATACCACAGGCAGGGATTGATTTCGTGGTGAGTGAGTCTAATATTAAACTCCAGGCCAGTGCGTGAGCCACTGGGCCAGCTGGCTACAATAAGATTCATCCAACTAAGTATATTTATACACCATAAAGAGGTTAGCACAGGTCCCACTGTGACCACAAATGCCACGAGTTCAACCCCCACCCGTAGTATGGCTTGTTTGCAATTGTCATTATGATTTCATAAGTCATGATAACGCTTTGAGGGGACCAGAGCTAGAGTTCATCATGGCCACGCTGGTGGGAGATTTATCTGTGAAACACTTGCATTTGTGGTCACAGTGGGGCCAGTGCTTACCTCTATGGTGTATAAATATACCTAGTTGGATGAATCTTATAGTAGCCAACTGGCCCAGTGGCTTACACGCTGGCCTGGAGTTTTACGGCTCTCTCGCCACGAATTCAATCCCTGCCTGTGGTATGGTCTAACTGGATAAATAGTTGCTGGAATTTTACCTAAACAAAACAGGTAAAAGAAAAAAACTAGGAATAACTGTTACCCTAAACTTGCCCTCTGAAATGTACATAAAATATCATAAGTACATGTAAAGGTTAATCTTGCAAATGTAATACAGTAGAGGTATTCAGGAACATGCATGACACCTTGAATATTCAATGCTGGCATGGAATCCTTGTTTAGTAAAATACAAAGCTACATTCAAGAAAGGTTAAAGAGCATCAAGACTAGTGCCTGAATTAATGGGAATGTGCTACAAATACGTAAATGGGAGATGTAGGTCTTTTGTCATTAGAGAAATTAAGAAGAGGGGATATGTCAGGAACATACAAAATACTTTGAGACATAGTGATGGTAGAGAGGTATAAGCTTTATCAGGATTGTAAAAAGAGTTCTTGCTTGGTCACTGTAATTGGTGTAGGTAATTGCTAATAAATGCAAGACTGACAATTTTTTTTTTTTTTTTTTTTATCACACTGGCCGATTCCCACCAAGGCAGGGTGGCCCGAAAAAGAAAAACTTTCACCATCATTCACTCCATCACTGTCTTGCCAGAAGGGTGCTTTACACTACAGTTTTTAAACTGCAACAGTAAACACCCCTCATTCAGAGTCAGGCACTGTACTTTCCCATCTCAGGATCAAGTCGGCCTAGCCGTGCTTTTTTCCCTGAACCCTTCATTTAATGTTACTTTGCTCACACTCACAGCACGTCAAGTATTAAAAACACCATTTGTCTCCAATCACTCCTATCAAACTCGCTCACGCATGCCTGCTGGAAGTTCCAGACCCTCGCACACAAAACCTCCTTTACCCCCTCCCTCCAACCTTTCCTTGGCCAACCCCTACCCCGCCTTCCTTCCACTACAGACTGATACACTCTTGAAGTCATTCTGTTTCGCTCCATTCTCTCTACATGTCCGAACCACCTCAACAACCCTTCCTCAGCCCTTTGGACAACAGTTTTGGTAATCCTGCACCTCCTCCTAACTTCCAAACTATGAATTCTCTGCATTATATTCACACCACACATTGCCCTCAGACATGACATCTCCACTGCCTCCATCCAATTTACAATTGAAAAACACTTTTAGAAAACATTTAAAATATTTATTTTGGATGTATTGACTGGTGCTTGAAAGGTAATTTATTTTTAGTGAGGTATATATTTACCACCCTCCATAGGGTGGTAAATAGGGTCTGTGAGGCTAGGAGGAAATGATTCTGGCAAGTGGTAAGTTGAGGGAAGGGCCAAGAGCTAAGATTCAACCCCTGCAAGTATTCCTGCTTATGTGCATATCACCTGTACATTGTACATTTGCATGTGAGAAGATTTTGCTAGTCTTCATGATTTCAATCTTAATAATTCACTACATTAGTCGACTATCTTAATACGAAAATGTGATGAGATTATGGTAGTGTTCTCGCTAATATTTTTTTTCTTTTTGGGGGGTCATATTTCATACAGGTCAAATTTAACATGTGAATATATTCAGTGAAATTGGTTAAAGAATCACTGTTAAAATATTCTTTAGTTTTATGTTTATTGTACCATAATGTATTTAGTGTTTGAGAGATTAAAATCTTTTTTTTACACTGTGTGTGTGTGTGTGTGTCTGCAGTGCCACTTGGTCTTAACCCATCCCACCAGTATTTTTTAAACTAGCTTTGGGAAGTATGATATATTATATTTTTATTATGTTACTGATACAGTATGCAGCAAATCTTGCTGGTGGCTCTGGGTAGCCCCTAGACCTCTCATTCCTTTAGCAGTGTCTTTGTCTTTCCTTTCTGAAATTTTTTGCACCTTTTGATGTACATGCATAAGCCTCAATCATACTGACATATGATCAACATTTCAGAATGATCTCCAAAGACAACTAGTACAGATGAATAATCCAGGTAATCACCATCCTCTTCCTGCTCGGGGAGTTGCTGCAGAAAACCAACCAAAATTCCAGAGGTCTTTTATTGATGGTGATTTTGATTTTGTAAGTGCATTTTTGTCAAAATGTTTATTAAAAAAAATTGTTGGCTGAAATTTTAAGTAAGAAACTTTTTTGGGAGAAGGGGGTAGTAACCCCTTCTCCTTACACTTACTAAATTCAAAAAAGAAAAACAAAAGTTTTTTCTTTTGGGTCACCCTGCCTCGGTGGGTTGGGGTTTGTTGAAAAGGAGAATACCTTATTTGTATAAGAAACCTTCCAAATGAAATACTTAAGTATTTTATTTTTTTTTAAAAGTTTAGGGTTTCAGATTATTTTCCTCGTATAGCTCTTCAAAAAATATAACTTTCAAACGGAACCCCTCTACTTGAACACTAAAAAATTTAGTTTAAAATATGGTATGTTTGGTATGAACATTTGGAAATCAGTTTTTAACAATAGAGCTTTTTTAAATTTTTTTTTTTTGAGTTTTTTACTGTTGTACATAGTCTACGTTTTTGTTCCAGTGTCACCCATAGATAACTTTTTTGAGCACAGTGCTCTCAAATATATGTGAGATAAATTTTGGCCTTTTGACATTAAAAAAATTGTGTGTTCAGTGAGTGCAAAATAAATATAAAAAAATTAATTCCAATGGTGCATGTGAAAAAGCAAACCCTGACCTTTTTTTTGTTTTCATATAGTGACTTTGGGTATTTCCTGGGAGGGTTTTTTTATTGGGCATTTTTTTTTTTTGTTTAGTTTTACCAAAAACTTAAAATGAGATTTTTGGTCATTTTTACGACAGAAAGCAAAATTTTAGATTTTAAAATTTTCAGCACAGGATGTTTTCCCCTCTGGCTTGCTTTACAATTTTTTAAATGGTTATTTTGTTATTGAGACACCCTAAATCACGCCCAATCTTCCTTGTTATATTTTATATCTGAAAATAGTGTAAAACTTTTATTTTTTTTTTTTTTTTGTTATGTGTGTTAAAGATGGGGGGAAATGAATATAAGAGATCTGGGGTGTGTTAATAAACAGAATAGTTTGCTTTAGTTGCTGGAATGCATACGTGTTTATTTTGATTTTGTTTTCAAATTGGAATTTTTTGAATTTTTTTGGACAAATTTTCCCCCAAATTTTTGACTTTTGTGCCTTTAAGGGCAGTTTAGGGCGTTTTTTTGTGCTCAGGTGATAAAACAGAAAAACAACTAAACTGTTTCAAGGGATGAAATTTTCAAAAAATGGATGAGGCACAAAAGGAGTACCATACAACTTGGTAACTATTGGTATTGTTCACGTGGTGACTTTCTGGTTTGATGACATAAAATATTTGTGCTTTTTTTTTTTTTGTAGGAAGAATTGTATCAGGAAAGTATGCAACAGGCTTCAGCCAAAATGAATCACTTTCACAGCCATGGTAGCAAGGTTCAATTTCACAAAAACTTTAGATGCCCTCCCCTCAAGGAAGGTTCCTTGATGTTGGTGAGGGGCTCTTGATTTAGGGAATTGGATCTGTGCTCCAGTTCCCCGAATTAAGCCTGAATGCCTTCCACATCCCCCCCCCCCCCCAGGCGCTGTATAATCCTCCGGGTTTAGCGCTTCCCCCTTGATTATAATAATAATAATTTAGATGCCCTAGTTCTCCGTATCCAACTTTGGCTATGCTGTATCTCTACCGAGCATAAAGATGTTGTTTTTTGTTGGGTCCCTGGTCATGTCGACGTACATACAGGGCAATGAACAGGCAGACACTGCTGTGCAGTCAGCAGTACATGACCTACCAATTTTATATAGAGGTGTTCCATTTCTGGACTATTTTGCTGTAATAGCTACCCACCTTCACACCCGTTGGCAACAACGTTGGTCAATTCTGCTCGGTAACAAACTTCATTCTATTAAACCGAGCATAAGTTACTGGCCGTCTTCTTGTCATCAGTGCCGAGGTTGGAAGACTACTCTCTCCCGCCTTCGCATTGGCCACACTCGTCTTACTCATGGGTATCTCATGGTGAGGCACCCTGTTCCTCTCTGTGAGCAGTGTCAAGTTCCAGTATTGATTAGCCACATTCTGCTAGACTGCCCTCTCTATCAACGAGCACACAGAATTTACCTCAGTCATCGTCTCCGCTCTACTACTCTCTCTCTACCTTCCCTTCTTGCTGATGGACCCTCCTTTAATCCTGACTCTGTCATTGACTTCTTGACAACGACTGATTTACTCCACAAACTTATCATGATGATGATACCTTTCGCACTCCCCTCAGCCCTTTCTACCTCAATCTCTTGCTGCCCTCTACCCTTACACCATCCACTGCCCCGCTGTTCTCCGTAACCTATTACTCATCCATCTCCCTTTTGCCACCTGATACCCTCGCTTCCTTCCTGCCCTGCAGCGCTGTATAGCCCTTGTGGCTTAGAGCTTCTTTTTGATTATAATAATAATAATAATGGAGCAAAACTAAGTTCAAATTTAAATTCAGCATCCCAAATTTAGTGAGACATACTAAATGTGAACTAAAGCCATTTGGCCAGTGTTATTTATTTTTAAACTAACTGCACCTCTTCAAGGGGGGCTCCTTGGTGTGGTGAAGAGGCTCTTGGTCTGAGGAATTAGACCTGTTGGTCTCCTTCCTCAGACCAAACCTAATTACCTCCCAATCCTCCCTTCCCTATCCCATTTTTCCTCCTCCTGTTACTTGGCGATTTTAATGCCCATCATTTCCTCTGGGGAGGTCTCACTGTGATTCCCGTGACATTCAGTTGGAGGCTTTTCTTGCTTCCCACCCCCTCCATGTTTTAAATACAGGTACTCCAATCCATTTTGATCCTCGTACTCATACACTCTCTTGCATTGATCTCTCAGTCTGCTCTTCCTCTACCGCACTAGACTTCACCTGGTCTGTTCTCCTGGACTTGCATGACAGCGATCATTTTCCAATCATTCTTACTTCTCCTTCATATTCACCACCTCTTCGTAGCCCATGCTGGCAATTTGATCAGGCAAATGGGACCTTTACTCACAACTAACTGCTTTTAGTGAGGTTCCTTCTTCATTGATGAGCTTTTACACCTCTTCTCGTCCTCAGTTTTAACCGCAGCTTCTCATTCTATACCCCAAACCTCAGGCAGGCATTCTCAGAAGTGCATGCCTTGGTGGTCTCTTGCTTGTGCTCGTGCAGTACGTTTGAAACGCACTGCGTGAGGCAGGTACCGGTACAATAGAACCGCTGAGAGACTTCTCAAGTTTAAGCAGAAGCGTGCGGTCGCTCGCCGTGTCATTCATGACACTAAACGCACTTGCTGGCGAGATTGTTTCCACCATCTCCTCTGCAAGTGCAGTCTGGAAAAAAGTGCGGAAATTGAGTGGTAAATACTCTCCTGACCCAGCTCCTGTTCTGTGGGTCGCCGGTGTTGATATAGCAAACCCTCTTGATGTTGCCATTGAAATTGGCAATCATCTGGTCTGTATTTCTCAGGGGCTCCATCTATGCCCCTCATTTCTTTCCTCAAAGTCTGCCAGAGAGTTAGCACCCTTGGACTTTTCTTCTCTCAAAGAAGAACCGAATACAGTGGACCCCCGCATAACGATTACCTCCGAATGCGACCAATTATGTAAGTGCGTTTGTACGTGTATGTTTGGGGGTCTGACAGGAATAATCTACTTCACAATATTCCTTATGGGAATAAATTCGGTCAGTACTGGCACCTGAACATACTTATGGAGTGAAAAAATATCGTTAACCAGGGGTCCACTGTAATGTGCCTTTTACACTTCAAGAACTAGAGGCAACACTCTCAGCTTGCCGATATTCATATTCGGATGTTAAAACATTTACATAAGTCAGCCCTTGCAGTCCTCTTACACCTCTTCAATCTTATTTGGTCACAAGGAGTTCTTCCCCAGCTGTGGAAATCTGCTATTGTTCTCCCTTCCACAAACTGGGGTTTCTACGGGAAAAGATGCCTCCCCTACGTCCCATTGCCTTACCAGTGCAGTTTTTCAAAGTGATGGAAGTCTGGTAAAAACGACTTTTTAAATTGGGGATTTTGAGCACACAACAGTCCCCACTAGTCAATAGGCTTTCGTAAGGGGCCCTTCTCCATAGACCCCTTCTACACTTGGATACTTTTGTTTAAATGCCTTTTGGGAAAAACCACTTAGTTATTGCCATATTTTTTTGACCTTGGAAGGCATAGACAAACTTGGGGTATAAATATTTGGCCAAGCCCCCCTTGGCTCCGAGGCAAATTCATCCCTTCCTTAAGAACTTTCTAATTGACAAATTTCCGTGTTTGGGGGTTAATAATGTGCTCTCCCCGGACTTTTTCCAAGCTGAAGATGTCCCCCGGGAGGGGTTTGAGCACAACACTTTTTCTCCTTGCATAAATGTTTTGGGCCCCTATTTCCCCTCCAATATTTGGTCCACATGTTTAGACTTCATCTGCTTGTGCAGGCGGACTGTCGCCTCATAGTTTCTCTCCGCTGCACAACCCTAAATTTTTAATTGGGCCCCACGCATGGGTTTAAATTTCCAGTACCAAAAAATCGCCAAATTACTTTCCTAGACGCTCTGTCATCTCCAATCATCCTTTGTACCTTTATGGCTCGCGTATCCCTGAACGTGATAGTCAGGTTTCTAAACCTTCCCTTTGACCGTAGGTTATCCTGGAAACCTCACATTACCTCTCTGAAGGCAACTTGTCACAGCTGGCTGAACCTTCTTAAAACCATTGCTCATCTTTCATGGGGAGCTGATCGTCGAACTCTCCTTCGCCTACATTCAGCCCTCATTTTATCGAAACGCGATTATGGTGACCAGATCTATTCAGCGGCTTCCCCTGTTACTCTCTCTAGCCTTAATTCCATCCATCGTCAGGGATTACATTTATGCCTTGGTGCTTTTCGCTCTTTCCCTGTTGAGAGCCTCTATGCAGAAGCGAATGTTCCATCCTTGTCCGATCGCCGTGATGCCCATTGCCTTCACTACTATGTACGCTCTCATGATCTCCGCAATCCTTCCATTTATAGAGTAGTCACTGATATTAGGAGACATTCTTTATTTGTTCGCCGCCCCTGTTTTCTCCGTCCCTTTTCTCTTCGCCTACATTCGCTTTTGTCTTTCCTGCAGTTGCCACCTTTCTAGGTTTGTGTAGCATTCACTTTTCCCTACCCCCCCTGGGAAGTTCCAGCTGTTTGAGTCTGTTCTTACTCCCTTGCTCAAAAGCCCAACTGCCTATGGTAGCTTCCCGCTCTCTTTTTCTTGACCACTTCCACTCTCATTCTCATGCCATCGCAGTGTACACAGATGGCTCTAAGTCTTCTGACGGTGTCGGATTCGCAGCAGTGTTTCAGGACAGCGTTGTACGAAGGCATTTACTGTCTTCGGCTAGCATTTTTACTGCTGAATTGTATGCCATTCTTGCAGCACTTCTCCGTATTGCATCTTTGCCCGTGTCATCATTTGTGGTTGTTTCAGACTCCCTTAGTGCTTTACAAGCTATACAAAAATTTGATACACCTCGCCCTCTAGTTCTCCATATCCAACTTTGGTTACTCCGTATCTCTACCAACATAAAGGATGAAATTATAGAACACATGTGCAACATCTGGTATTTTTTATTGTAAGACGTTTCGCCATCCAGTGGCTTTTATCAATACAAATTCAGGACATAACTTGAAGACAGTAGAACTATGTACAGAAGATGAGGTAATCAGTCCCTCAACCTTGAAGTAGGTGCGAAGAGCACCGTAGTCGTGCTCTACAGTGCTCTTCGCACCTACTCCAAGGTTGAGGGACTGATTACCTCATCTTCTGTACATAGTTCTACTGTCTTCAAGTTATGTCCTGGAATTTGTGTTGATAAAGCCACTGGATGGCAAAACGTCTACAATAAAGATACCCAGATGTTGCACATGTGTCTTAATTTCATCTTGTCGGTATTGTATACCATTCTTAAACAAGCATAAAGATATTGTTTTTTGTTGGGTCCCTGGTCATGTTGACGTACAGGGCAATGAACAGGCTGACACTGCTGCGCAGTCGGCAGTACATGACCTTCCAGTTTCATATAGAGGTGTTCCATTCACGGACTATTTTGCTGTTATAGCTAACTACCTTCACACCCATTGGCAACAACATTGGTCTGCTCTGCTCAATAACAAACTTTGTTCTATTAAACCAAGTATAGGTTACTGGCCGTCTTCTTGTCATCAGTGTCGAGGTTGGGAGACTACTTTCTCCCGCCTTTGCATTGGCCACACTCGTCTTACTCGTGGATATCTTGTGGAGAGGTGCCCTGCTCCTCTCTGTGAGAATTCAGGTTCCAGTATCGGTCAGCCACATTCTGTTAGACTGCCTACTCTGTGTGCTCATAACGAGCACACAGAATTTACCTCCAACGTCGTCTTCGCTCTGCCGCTCTCTCTTTACCTTCCCTTCTTGCTGATGGACCCACCTTTCATCCGGACTCTCTCATTGACTTTTTGACAACAACTGACTGACTTCACAAACTCTGATGATGATACCTTTAGCACTCCTCTTGGCCCTTTCTACCTCAGTCTCTTGCTACCCTCTACCCCCGCATCTATTCCCCTGCCCCGCTGTTTTCCGTAACCTACTATCTCCTCCCCCCTTTTGCTGCCCTAAAAAAAAAAAAAATTAAAAAAAAAAAGAATTTAAAAAAATAAAAAATTTAAAATTTAAAAAAAGGTAAAAAAATATTTAAGATAAAAAACAAAAAATTTTAAAAAAAAAGAAAAAAAAAAATTGGGTATTTTAAAAGAATTAAATTAAAAAGAATAAAAATTTAATTTAATTTAAAAAGCCCCCAGAATCAAAAACAAAACACATCACAAAAGGATTAAAAAAGTTTTTTTTATAAAAAAACAAAAAAAAAAATATTTTTTAAAAATAATAACAATTTAAAGGGGGGGGGGGGGAAATTAGGCAAAAAAGCCCCCCCCGAGAAAGCGATACCACCCTACCCTTCAGCCCAGTAACCCCCTTGTGTTAGCGCTTAATTGGATTAAAAATAATATCAATATCTCTTCATTATTGCGGCAGAATAATTTGATGCCAACCTATTAATTTAAGAAAGTAAGTGACTGTTTAAGTACGTACCACTCTTCATTTTAGTAACTGTCAGTGAAGATTGTGTGTTATTTTGAAATCCTCATTTTCAGCTCAAACACCTGACGTATGAAGAACTACACCAACGTATGGCTACCTTAGACCAGGAAATGGAACGTGAAATTGATGAGCTGCGTCAGCGGTATCAGGCAAAAAGGCAACCTATTCTTGATGCCATGGACCAGAAGAGAAAGAGACAACAGAATTTCTAGCATATTTGCACTGTGTATAGTTGTTGTACAGTGATCTCTTCTGTAAGCTTCCAGGACATTTTTGATGCAATGGAAGGTACTGTGATTGCCACATATTGTGAAGGAAATTTCTTTGTATGACCAAAATATTAATGAGAATGGATTGTGTAAGCTATAAGTAATAAATGATTTTATGAAAACATTTTGTGGATCTTAAAAATGGATGAAGTCTAAAAGATAAAATCTTGTAGTGAAGGAAAATGCAGGAATTGGTGTGTAGTTGGTTGCTGGATGTCATAACTGTGTGTGCCATGTGATTATTTAGTGGGTGCAGTAGAGAAATGATTGCATAAATGGAAGGTTGCTTAGGCACCTTGAAACAATGATGGACAACTTGATGACAAAATGTTTTATTTGCTAATACCCTGTGGTTAAAACTCAAGGGTGTTGGTTTTGTGGAAAAGTTATTTGCTGGATTGTTGTGACCTGAGCTTGACTAAATATCTTCAGAATAACTTTTAGTATTAAAGTTAGATAAAATTAAATTATCCCAGCAATAATAATAAAACAAAACCCTGAGGAAATTAATAATATGCATACTTGCTTTTGAATAAGTTGAATAGAAAAAATGCAGGATAGAAGTTAATCACATTTACCTCTTGTTTTATCCACATTTCACCTCGAATACGGTGACTAGTATAAAAATCTTAATTTTTAATAACTTTTTAAATTTAATTTTTTTTTATTTGTATTTTACTATTTTGGTCCTGACATTTCTGTTAACACAATTTGTATAGTTCTATAATTTGCATTTTACATGTGTTCAAACTTTTCACTGTGAATGTATTCTTAGCAAGTGCATGCACACCCTAAAACACTGACAACATATACACACATGCACGCTAACTTGAATAAGTAATGACAGTAAACCCTCTATTAACACACATTTTGTTCCTGACAATTGCTGCCTACTTTAAAATCACTTTGCGTGAAGTGAATTACATGGGGAAAATAGGGTTACATTCCAGACTCCTCCAAATCGCCAAACTTTTTTTTTTCTTCTTTTTAAGCTCCTTACATGTGGCAAAATTTAGACTTTTTAATAAAAATATATTTTTTGAAATAGAACTATAAAAAAAAAGAAAAATGGAATTTTATAGCGTGTTGAAGTTGATTAATTGTGGGCAAATTGTAAAATGAATATAATGCGCTGAGTGCAATATATTAATTTTTATTGACAAGTTTTTAATATCTAATACTATGTACAGTGGAACCTCAATTTACGAGTTTTTCCTCATTTAAATTAACTGAAATGCCATTAATCTGTTCCAGCGGAATTCCTGCTCTCTGGAGGTAGGACAATACTTGAATATGATGCTAATATCAACTCTATGGCTTATTTATCTATCACAATTCATCTAATATGACATAATATAATTAACACAGAAACATGATATATACTCTAGAATGAATAAAATAAGCCAAAGTGTGGCAAGTGATGATGGCGGCGGTGTCGACCATTTCCTCTCCCATTCCGACTAGTATTTTCCCATGCTCTTAAGAGATTATTATTATTATTATAATCAAGGGGAAGCGCTCAACCCGGAGGATTATACAGCGCCTGGGGGGGGGGGATGTGGAAGGCATTCAGGCTTAATTCGGGGAACTGGAGCACAGATCCAATTTTCTAAATCAAGAGCCCCTCACCAACATCAAGGAACCTTCCTTGAGGGGTTAATATAAGAGAAAATGTTTGCGAGGCTAACTAGATCACTAGTTTCATAAGGAAAACACTGAAACAATGTATTTATAAATAAGAAATACATAAAAACGTAACAGAGAATGTAAAGAAATGTACCGTTTATATAAAGTGTATACAGTGGAACCTCAAATATCGAACTTTCTTCAGTCCAGAAGGCTGTCCAAGTGCTGTTACCGAATGAATTTATTCCCATCAGGAATAATGTAAATTAGATTAGTCCATTTCAAACCCTCAAAAATACACTTATAAAAGCACTTACAAAAATACACTTACATAATTGGTTGAGCTGGGAGCAGTTCGATTTTTGAGGTTCCACTGTACTTAAACACTGGAGTAGAGATGGTGGCAGAGGTTGAGGGTGGGGAGATATTATTATTATAATCAAAAAAGAAGCGCTAAGCCACAAGGACTATACAGCGGGGTGGGGAGATAGGCAGTGCGGTGTATGATGTCATTGGTCCTACAAACCTCCAATAACTTTGGAGGAGTTAGTTTCATTTCGTCATTTTTCTAGCGCTTAACTTACTTGCTACAATTTATTGATGAACTTAACTGCTACGATTTGTTTTACATTTTTTTTTCACTTCGCTCTTCACTGATTTACTTGCTACACTTGGAAATTATTGTAATGCCATTGGCTGGCGCTATAGCCTTTGTCAACCCCTGCTGCTTTAGTACGTATCGTAGATGTACTACGTTGATATTGTCTGGCTAAATCAATAACCCATACACCTTACTTATGTTTATCTGTGATTTCATGCTTTAATTCCATGGACATCCTCTTTTTTTTTCTCGGCACTGTCGTTTGCACTTACTTTCTTATAACCCATGGTTAGAAACAAGAATTTTGGCAAAAGAACTGCAGAAAATGGAAGGAAATCACCACAAAATATCCTCCCAGAGTGAGGTAAACATGTGCACTGCTCACTGGATGTGGAATTGGATCTGTGCTCCAGTTCCCTAAATTAATAATAATTCTAATACGTACGTACTAAGAATAATAATAACGAGGATCTTCAGACCACCACTAGTTGGCACAGTGCACTGTGGGAGGAGATTTTGTCGTGATATCCTTCCATTTTCTGCAGTTATTTTGCCAAAATTCTTGTTTCTAACCATGGGTTATAAGAAAGTAAGTGCAAAGGACAGTGCTGAGAAAAAAAAAGAGGATGATGCCCACGGAATTAAAGCGTGAAATCACGAACAAATGAGGTGTGCGGGTTGTAGATTGTGGGGAAAGCTGGCTCGTAGCTCGGATGTTGGCTCGTAACTCAGAGGAAAAAACTGACCAAGCGACGGCTCATATCTTTAAAAATTCGTATGTTGGGACACTCGTAAGTCATGGTTCTACTGTAATTTGATTTTTTTACGATGCTAGTTGTTTCAAAGTGTTTTACTATTTAAAATAGGGCGAGACTCAGCCCTGACACACGTGGAATATCCAGTATTAGTGTGTGTGTTTTTCTTTCTTTCTTTCTTTCTCAATAGCCATCTACTGAGGCAAGGTAACCCGAAGAAGAAAACATTAACCATCATTCAGTCACTATGTTGCCAGACGTGTGCTGACATCACAAATCAGATTACCCTGCGAGTACACACTGCTCTTCCAACCTCCATGACAAGCCAGGCTCAGTTTACATGTACTTGAATCACTTCATAATAGTTCTCTCATACTCCAAGGATGTCCATTAAAATCCACTTGTCTATATTCTAACACGCTCACATAAGCCTGCTGAATGCTTAAGCCTCTAAAAAAAAGTCTTTTAACACCAACCCCCCCACTCTACCTTCCACCCTAGATTTATATGCTCTCTTTGTCATCCAATCCCTCTCCATGCCCAGACCACCACAGTAACCCCTCCTCAATTATCCCCTTGGTGAAATCACATTGATTTTTAACTCTAAATTCAATGCACGATATTCACACCACGCATTGCTCTCAAATGTCTCCATGGCCTGCAGCCTTGAAAACCTATAGCTCACACCTATAAAAAAGTGTTGGTACCACTACACTGACACAGTTTTCCTTATATATTTTGATTGTTTTTGTCATCTAACACTATGTATAAGGAAATCTTATGATAATACAATTGATTCAGGTGTGATACCTCTCGACACATGTAAATAAGTAGCACTGACTTTCCTAGGTTTATACTCGGTGAAAAATATACATTTATCTGTGTTCTCTCAAGACCATTGTAAAAATGTGTTTACATATGCCTAAATAAATAATACATTGTACAGATGCAGGGTGGCATGTCAAACATTTACTAATGTCCTGCTAAGTCATTGTTATTCATGATGTACTGTCTAGCCCTACATTTTTTTCTAGGCTAGGCATGACAAGTCACCCAAACAGTTGAGCTATGATATAAAATAGCTGTCAGCACATTTGAGGCCTACAAAAATTTGCAGTTGTGTAAGTCATCTCCAGAGGGGTCACCCTGCTTATGTATAAGTCATCCCTAATTAAAAGGTTAATATTCTACTAGGTAAAAACTACTTGCTATCTACTTCACACTTTTCTGTTACTTGAAGCATCTGAAGAGTGTGGGGATGATTAACATGGGCTTACTAGGCCAAGTTAGATGTAACATTATAAAGATAAAAACTAAATTTCCTTACCAAATTAAACCAGACATACAGAAACTGGCCCCCACACACAACCAAAAAAATATTAAAGATGAATGCATTTGAAAAGTAATAAAGTGTTGAGAGGCTGCATCTGGGACATGTGGAGAGAACTGCAAATTATGGCTTTGTTTCCCAGCAAGGTTACGACATCACAGATTTCTGTAACTTTGCAAGACACATCTGAATTGTCTACAATTTTTATTGTATGATCTATGCATGAGGGGCAAATAATGTAGTGTTTAATGGACAAGAACTTGGAGAGCTACATCACACACTTTGGTCAAACTGAAATATAAAGTCAGCAAGGAAATTGCATGCTTTCAACTCTCTCAAAACATAACTATGTTGATGTGATAATATAACAGGGCAGCAGCTGACATGAAACTTAAACACTGCTTTGCTTTACCTAGCAAGGTGTGGGAATCTCAAAAATATGTTTGGGCAGTGAGCTGGTATTTTGGCAGCCTCAGTGCAGATGTTTACTGTACCTCCACTACAACATAACATTAAAACATTTATTCACTTTATTATTAATCACCAACATATTCAATAATGTAGAAATATAGGTGTAGGTATATCATCACTGTTAAAGGCACATGAATGTATAATTACGATAACGTACAATAATTGGTTAATCAAGATCAGTCGTCCACTGACCTTTGGAGGAGTCTTGATGTAATTCACTGAACATTTTCTGATATTTTATAATGGATGTTTTATAAAAATTAAACATTCACTAGTCATTTTTTAAAATATTTAGGAAAAATGCTGTCTAATGGACATGACTTGTTCTGGCTTAGCAAGAAAGGTGGGAGGCTGGGGAGGGTATGCTTGTGACCCAGCAAGTAGATTGTAAAAATCTATGGTGCACATCAATTAATGATATGCTGATTCTTTCGTGCTTTATGATGCATAACATTAAATATTTTAGCATATTAAAAACTGGGTTGCATTTTTTAATAATGCTAATGCAAAATCGGGCTGTCTGCTGTGTTAATTGAGGGTTTAATGTGTGTACAAATTCTGGGCATTAGATACATATCAAATTATCCCAGCTGATACATGGGGAGAAAAAAAAAAAAGACAGGACATCAAAGTTAAAAATGCTCAAAGAAACAGAAAAAAAAAAGCACAAAGGAATAATAATTACTCAGAAACAGAAAAGCAGCAGCAGCACAGGCTAAGCATACAAACATTAGAGTGGCATTAAGTAATCTAAACAAAGACTTGTTCAAATTACTCTTTACCTCATACATGCATAGCCCATAGTCTTAAAGGCTATATTTTACTGTTGCTAAGACAGTCGGATGAATAACTCTCTAGAGCCTTAAAGAATTATTTTCTGAGTGTTTATTACAGCATGTGCTCTGTGATCCCTGTGTTCTGTTTGTGCTTCAAAAATTAAATTGCATTTCTGTAATATTTCATTTATCGGCATTGTAGTATGTTACAATTTATTTTTATGACAAACCTAACTTAAATACAGTAGCATAAATCAAGAAAACCATATGCAAGAAGTTGACTTAGACTTGTGAGCAAGTGTTGACATACAATCTATTCTTGCCATAAGCACCAATAAAACTACAGGCACTCCAAAGGAATGTATTTAGACTGGTGCCTGAACTGACAGAAGTAAGCTATGAAAGAAGGAATGAGAGAGCTGGGCCTTTCATCACTGAAAGAGCATAGAATAAGAGGCAATATGATCACAACATACAAAATACTTTGATGGTATATGTAGGGTAGGTAAAGATAGGCTACCAGAGAAGTAACAAGAATAAGATGGCACAGCTGGAAATCAAATATAAGAGAGTCATAGGAATATCAGGTAACAGGTTTTTGATACAAGATTGCATGAACTCCTCCATACAGGGGGTCCCAAAATATATATATCACCTATTTCATATCAGGTGATGTAAAGGAGGTGGGATCAAAAGCTAGAGCTCTTTCAACTGCCCCTTTTCTTAAATTCAAATAGTTAATTGTGTATTCAAAACACCCTTCACATTATGTACACAACCTACTTTTCAACATGTAACACCTGTATGAAGCCCTCATATTAGAAATCAAGAAAGCTTTAAGGGGTTTGCATTTAGACTGGTGCCCAAGTTGAAGGAATAAGATATGAAAATAGAATGCAAGACCTGGTCTTATGTCACTGGAACAAGAGATATGATGGTAAAAGGGAGCAAATGACCCAGAAATATCTGAAAACACTTCATAATACAAAGAAGTGAAATGAACTGAGCAGTAATACTAAAGCCGACTATACACAAGCTCAAATATATGTATGACAAGGCTGTGTTTGGTCAGTTCATCAAAAGTTGAGAGGCAGAGTAAGAGCTTAATTTTGTTTTCTTCCCCTCCCAAACTCAACCCAAATAATCAGTTACACAATGCGTGCACACACACACACACACACAGTCCAATTTTTTTTTTTATCTCATTACATAGTCATGGCTCTGCATATCTTTCTCAGGGAATTCATTTCACTAACTTTTGTCTAAACTCTGCTTATTTTCTACATTGTAAATTAGATAAGGTATGACTATAAATATGGATGTTCATTCTAATACTGCAAATTTGAGGGTGTTGCCTATGGACATTCACCTTTTGTGTAAATATTTCAAAGAGATTGACTATGCAAGTCAATGGAAACTGCCTCACTTGTGTAACAGCTAAATCAGCATCAAAAAGCTTCAGTTTATGATGCAGGTGGATTATTTTTAGCCATAGAATATATAAAACTCAAAAACCTGGCTGCCAATATTTTTTTTTTTTTTTAAGATATTTTATGTGCCAATCCATTTATATGTGGAATATTGGATACCCTTAAAAACCACTACTTGTTCATAATCTTTTAAATCCTCCAGATTTGCAACTGTTATTGCTGTGTGATACTTTTTAAAACATTTAATAATCAACTGCAAAAAAAATAGCTAATTTCTTCTCAAGTTGTACATAGTATTGATGTATGTATAAAGAATAAAGAAATTAATTATAAAAGCAAAATATTATAATTGGTATGCATTAAACCAAACAACATATGTACCAGAAATGCATGTATAAATGGCACAAATTGTGAGGTACTGTACTATGTATAGGAGTGTATTGCTATTTAATTTGACTTCCCAAACAATGTAGTATTAATGATGAGTGGAGAGCAGGTAAATCTCTCTCTGACTTTTGATTTTATTATGATGAAAAATTTAGGGGGATCATTACTGTTGATGTCATTTTAGTTCTTACAAAATTTACTGCAGGCCTAATTATTTTAAGCAACCTTATTACTTTCATTAGTTAATAATTTCCCAGGGTGAAACTGGAGATAATTAGTATATGATAATGGTTCTGGAGATGAATGTAGGTTTGATGCAAGGGTCCAGCTGAATGTTTTAAGGCTTGTTTAAAAGTTCAAAAGTTATCTACGAATGTCATTAGCATTGGAATTCTTGGTTATGCTCGAATATGTTGTGAATTAGTATTTATTCTGTGACAATATTTACAATTACTTCTGTGTAAAGCGCTGTATTTTACCACTATTATTCTGGGATAAAAGTTAAAAAGCTTCATTCTCATTATACACAGTTAGTAACAGTTCATCTTGTCACAAGATGAGTGACTAGAATGTGGTAGTTTGCAGAAATTAATCAATCATAACTTCTAGTCAGATAAGAATTAATTCACCAGTCATATGAACTAGAGAGGTTTGGATAAGTTTTTTGATTGAGAGTGATGCATCCACTACTGACCAGTGTAATGTATCATCTTCAATATTTGTCAAGTCATACTTGTATAAGTGCCTCAGCAAATACTTAAGCTTTGTGATAGGGGAGTCAACATTTCTAGGAGCATTTACAAAAGTATTAACATATATGCCTATGCAGTGGCATAATTAGAATACTTATTAAAATCAAATTTTACACGTAAACACATGCATATTAATTCCTATTAGGATCTCGGCTATTTTCCATCAACACAGGGTGACTCAAAGGAGAAAGAACATTAACCATCACTTGTTCCTTAACTGTCTTTACTGAAGTGCACAGATGATGATCTAATAACACACCAAACTGCAACAGCCCCACCTGTCTTTCAGATTGTACTTCCCACCTCCAAAACTAAATTGGTTAACCGGTATCCCTTCACAGATAATATAATAATGTAACCCTCCCCCTCCCCCAACAATATGTTAAATCTCAAAAACCACCTCCCTCCACCCCAGTCTAACATGCATGACAAATACTTAAGCCCCTACTGCTCAAAACTACTTTCACACCCTTCTCAATGGAAAATATTCCCTTTCTAACAAGTTTAACTCTTGCTGTTTTCAAAAGCATTACAGCTTTTAAAAACATATCACATATTCTTCACATTTATAAGAAACACATCACTCCTATCTACTTTATTTTATGCCTTGACATATTCATCATCTCCTTTTCCTTGTCTAAATACTGTTCACTTTGATGCTTGATGCAAACATTTTATCCATACAATACCTCTTCCAAAATCAACCATATTCCCTAATTATAATATTTTCTGTAATTTCCTGCTGTGAATAACACGTCCACCACAACTACCCAGTGTACTCAACAGACTTATTGCTTTGTATTTATAAAGCACTATCTTGAACTCTTATACCCTCCTATAAGGGAACTATTCATACTCTGCCAAATTCCCAGGTACTTTCCTTTTCTCACACACATACTGAATGTACTTGCTTCTGGTTCTTCCGTTTTAAAAAATTTTAATCGTCCCTTCTCCATATATGAAATCTGCCTTCATTTCAAATAGTATTCTTATCACATTTACTGTACTTCTACTTCCATATGTAGCAGCATACTGATTTCATTCTTAACTGACAAGTTTATTTACACTGTTGCTCTCTCTCAAACTATTTCTTATTATAAATAAAATTTGCTGATAATGACTAATCCATTCCTTCACTACTTTTAAACCTTTTCTCTATGTACTATTCTCTGTTTGGCTTGCTTTTACATATTATAAAAACTTTTCATATGCTTAATTTTAATTCTGTACTGCCCTTTCCAATTAGCCATTCCACTATTTGTACCCCTTCCCTCTTGCACCCATTCCACTATGACCAGAAATTGCTGTAAACTAGAATTGCATTTCTAAATCCACCTTATACCTCTTTATATCCTCATTGTAACTTTTCTGTAATTGTGGACTGGTCAAAGCTGCAGGTATCTGGAGGTATCACTTTTTTCAACAGACCAAAAGTCTACCACAATAAATATATAGCTATGATATATAGCTACCATGTACATTATTATTATATTCAAGGGGCGTGCCAAACCTCTACGGGGCCATACAATGCCTGGAGAATGAGAAACAAGTCTGATCCATGAAAGAGACAGGTAGCTCCAGTTCCTTACAGCAAGAGTTTTTCACCAGCATTGAAGGGAACTTCAATGTACAGTTGATGTATGAAAAAACTAGTAAAAGTTAAGGATGGTGAATTTGTGTTCATTAACTTCTCTGAAAGTGTACACAGACCTATAGCAAATAAGTGCACCTCACCCTGTGTGGAGATGGTAGATGAAATTGAGAGTGAATATCTAGTCCACAGCACTGAATGAAAGTACAGAAATCTTCAGGATCCACTGTAGGTAGTGACTTTTCTTCTTGAATAATGATGTCAACATAAATTGCTTAATGCAATAAGACCTCTGATAATTTGTTTATACCTGGTATGAGGTTTATCCTAAGTGGATATGTTACACTAGCATACCTTGGCTTTCATTAACTGGGTCCTCATTACTTTTGTCACTTCTAAGGCACTTGGATTCACTGCTGTCTTGGTCAGTGTGTTTGATGCAAAGGATATTTATGCTTCAAACTCCTATTCTGCCTTGGTTTAATGGCTGATTGAGTTGGTGTTATTTATAGGCATATGTTTGGTAAAATTATAGGAAATTTGTCATGAGATAAGCAGATCCATCATTAATCTGCAGTATAATTTTGCAGCCTTTTGGTAGATTGACTTTCATGCAAGTCTTCCTGGGCTCAGCCACAAACTGTCAATCATTTGCTCAAAGTTTTGAGTAATCTATACTTTCTCATTGGAATCGAAAGCACTAGTATTTGTATACCCTTTAGTGCACACTGTTGTACACTTCTTCCAATCATATGAACTGGTTAACCCACTTACCTTTCCTTTTATTCTTTTACTGTACCCCAGCTATGTTTTCTCATCACTTCAGAAAAGATAATGTCATACAGGACTTATTCAAATGAAAAGGATTATTTTAGATTAGAGATTTGCTAAGGCTAAATGATACTTCCTTCACTAAATGTGCAAATTCAGCAAAATATTTAGCAGCATCTTTATGGTCCAAAAGCTTTAACCTTAATATTCCATGGCATTTCTGAAACTTATTGTATTCGAAAACAAGTGCCACACCCCTATTGGACATATGGCGCATTAAACCTGTGCAGCTATCAAAGGGAATATTCACAGGACTTATAAATAGTTTTCAGTTCTGTGGAAATATTTTGAATGCATCAAAATCTGCCCTGACAATTACATATTCACTGTAGCACATAGTAACAAATTTTGTTAAAGAGGTCTATTAAAGTGACTAGACTTGCTGACAATTTCAACACTCGTTCTTTCAACACATTCTTTCATGATCAGCTTAATACTTCTACTTTCTTAATATTTAAATACGTTTTATAAAACTAGGTTGTCTCATTCACTTTGCAAACCCTGGCTAATGCACAGGACTCTGGGAGAGTGTAACACTACTATATGATAAACCAGTAGGGGTCATACAGTGCTTGGAAAATGGGAGTCTGTATTGATACAAGGAATGGGAAAGTTCTGATACCTTGGATCAAGAGCCCTTAACTGGGAAATGTAAAATCTAAAACATTGCCTTTGAAAAAAAAAAAAAACTATCTCCTTGAAATTTAAACTGTCATTGCTTTTGAAAGACTGGCACTTCAAGGGAGGTACTGGCGAGTCTCTCTGAAGCAAGCAACTGGACTTGTCCTCTTCCTTGGATCAAACCTGAATGCCTCCCATGCCCTTGGCACTGTATGACCCCTATGGGTTTAGTGCTCCCTCAAAAAAAAAAAATTATGAAAAAATAGCTTTCAAAAAAACTACTTGAAATTAAAATGAGGCATATAATGCTTGTTTTACTACAATAAGAAGTGTGGTGGTGACTGTCACTGTAGGTATATTACTCTCAGGGCTTAATCCTTGCTGCACAGCTTGCACACTAGTACCTGGCTTATCAATCTCACTAGTAACTTCAACTGTTATGGAAATGTGATCCTCAAAAGCCATACCATCATAAAAAGTTAAAAATTTGTTTTTGGGTCATAAGAGCTGGAGTGTACTCCAGATAAGGTTTGCTATAATGGGAAAGTATCCAATGCACAACCAAAAAAGTAATTCCCAATGAACAGTGTGAAATTATTTATTTGACCTTGCACAATTTAGAAAGCATCCAATGGTAGGTTACACTTTTTAAATTCACCTGACTGGCATTCACCTTTAACCATGGCCTCAGCCACCTAAAATGTAAAAGTTTTGTAACCACTGTTTCCTAAATTCACACACTGGTCCCTCATTTATCGTCGTTAATCCGTTCCTGAAAGTGTGACGATTATCAAAAAAGATGATTTTCGAATCAATTTTCCCCATAAAATAATGTAAATACAATTAATCTGTTCCTGACACCCAGAAGTATTAAAACAAAAAATTTTTTACATGAAATGTGTATGTAGTACATAAACAATACAATGGGACATGATGAATGAAACATTAACAGCATAACACTTACCTTTATTGGTGATTCTTCTTTGTGTATGGAAGACTGGAGAAGAGAGATTGGATTAGTTACTGTTTGGAAGGGGAATCCCCTTCCATCAACACCTCAGGTACCAAGTCTTTTTCTGGGGTTACTTCTCTTCTCTTTCTTAATGCCACTAGGACCAGCTTGAGAGTCACTGTAGTCCTGTCTCGCAAAAAAAGTGTCCAGAGAGCTCTGTTTCTGGCGTCTCTTTAAAACTTCCCTAAAATGGGCCAAGACTGTCACTGTACAAGTTGCCAATATGGCTTGCAACATCCTTCTCAGGGTGATGTTTCTCCATAAATCTTTCCATCCTACCCCACATTTCAAAAATCTCCTTAATTTCTGAAGAAGACACCTTCCATCTCTCTTCCTCCTCCTCTGCAGCAAGATTCTGAGCTGCGATCTGTTGCTGTTCCTGCTGAAGCTCTTGCAGCTCCTCAGTGGTTAACTCTTCGTTGTGGTCCTCCACCAACTCTTCCATATCCTCCAAACTCACATCCAACCCCATGGAACTCCCCAATGCCACAAGAGAGTTCACAACTGACATAGGCTCATCAGGGTCAGCCACAAACCCTTCAAAATCCCTCGTGGACACGATCTGGCCACAATTTTCTCCAAGCAGAGTTCAAAGTCCTGGTAGTCACTCCCTCCCAAGCCTTATCTATAAGGCTTATGCAATGGAGGATACTGAAGTGTTCTTTCCAAAACTCTCTTAGGGTCAGGTGAGTTTCTGAGGTCACATTAAAGCACCTTTGAAACATTGCTTTGGCATAGAGTTTTTTAAAGTTTGAAATGACTTGCTGGTCAATGGGCTGGAGGAGAGGAGTGGTATTTGGGGGCAAGTACTTTACTGTGATGAACCCAAACTCCTGCAGAATTAGGTCATCCAAGTTTGGAGGATGAGCAGGTGCATTGTCCATTACTAGAGGCACTTGAGATCCAATTTCTTTTCCAGGAGGTAATTCTTCACACTAGGGCCAAACACTTCATTGAACCACTCGACGAAAATTTTCCCTCATGACCCATGCCTTATTAGATCTCCAAAACACACACAATTTACTCTTCATAACATTGTTTTTCCTGAACACTCTGGGATTTTCAGAATGGTACACTAGTAATGGCTTCACTTTGAAATCCCCACTAGCATTAGCACAGAACATTAGCATCAGCCTGTCTTTCATAGGCTTGTGTCCTGGCAGTCCCTTTTCCTCCTGAGTAATGTAGGTCCTCTTTGGCATTTTCTTCCAAAAGAGGCCTGTTTCGTCACAACTGAACACTTGTTCAGGTTTCAGTCCTTCAGCCTCCATGCCTTATTATACTGTGTATGCCACTACGGTTCTTAAATCTCTCAAACCATCCTTTGCTGGCCTTAAATTCACCAATATCAGTACTCATTGCAGGCAATTTCTTTACCAGATCGTCATGCAACTGCCTAGCCTTTTCCCAAAAATTAACTACGTCATAAGACTATCTCCTGCTAATTGTTTCTCGTTTATCCACACCAATAATAACGGGATTTGTTATACATCCTGGCCAGTTCGGCCACACGTACACCACTTTCATATTGTTCAATGCTTTTCTTAAATTCAAACGTATTTCTCATCTTCTTTCTTTACCAAAGGCTTGGCACTAGGAGCTTTCTTTGGAGCCATGGTAGCTTATTTAGCACTTGCAAGCACTAAAATGAATGGAATATTATGAAATATTTCGTATGAACACGTGAGGGGACTGTCGCTCACTGGTAAACAATGCCACACTGGCTGGGAAGGGAGGCCGAGGCGGCTCAGAGCCATGAGTACGCATCCAGAATGAATGATGATTAGCGAGTCAACCGACCATTTGCAAGCCAATGTTTGGACTAAAATAACGCGACAATTTCCGAAAAGGGCGACTATCGAGCCCGACAATTATCGAGGGACCACTGTATTCCCTACTCACACTCACTCAGGCTGATGGGAACAAGTCTTTGCCTTACCGCTACCTTCCTTCTACTAGTGCCCTCATTACTGTAGTTTGGCTGTGGCTTGAGTATGGACAGAGTTCACTGCAATCCAGTCAAGTGTTATTTAGGATCTATTAGATAACACACTTGCACATGCAAACTGCCTCACAATGTAAAGTTGTAAGAAGTAGGTTGTGAATGACAGCTTCTTTCCATTCACTGCTCTTGAACACGACCAACTCAATTCATGTTACAGAACTGTCTTCCTCATACTGTCGAAAACTGTGTGTTTATATAATGTGCCAAATATATTTGCTGCCGGCTTGAACAACACAGGTTGTCTATTATTAAAGTCCAAATATTCATTTGCCCACCACATGACTACTTGTAATGAATAGTATATTCTTTTAAATTTTCTGTTTCCTATTTGATCCTTGTCTTTTAAAGTCTATGAGAGCCTCCAGGTCACTGCCTGCAATAGTCTATTTGACCAGGCAGCCAAGGAAGTTTGGCCTGAAACCAGTTTTTTTTTTTTTTTTACCTAAAGTACCATTGTTAGGCAGTATGGTAACATACTGAAGTTCTTTTTTGCCCCATTACCTATGTGAATATATCTGGATCATGCAAAAAATCTAATGAAAATAGCCCCTCAAAGAGGTCCTCTGATACTAATGAAGGGCTCTTGATCTAAGATACTGGAGTTATCCTAACC